TACTCACAAATCTGGTATTGCTAATGGTTGGACTCCAAGATTTTAGAGGCCTTTTCCAACCTTAACAATTCTATGAAGAATTTGAATAGAATCACCTCTATTACAAAGTCACCTTATGCCTTACACATAAAGCCATCCCCCTAACAGCAAGTCACTCCTTGGACTGAAGAAAACAGGAGAACCTTTTGTCTGAGTCCCTAGTACCAGACACCCAGATGTGACTGTATTTGGAGAAGATATCCTCACACATCATGAACTGCTTAGAGGTTCAGAATGACAGGGAAAGTCACTGATAACAAAAACATTTCTCCTTTATTTCAAGGGCTGCTTCTCCTTTTTTTCTGCTGGAAAATTGCAGCTGTAAGCCAATGCTCATCTGCAAAAGCATCTCCTCTAGAATTCCTGCAAAAACAGTGCAGCAAAACTACATTCTGACTCTATTTCATCTCTCACTCCCTCCTCTATAACTGCTAAAATCCCAACTACTACATCAGATCCTGCTTGAAACTGATTTGCAATACTATCAGACACTTCCTCAAAGGCCATCCTGGAATTTTCAGCCCTTTCGAAGTGTTCTCTCATTTTACTGAGATGTACTGGGATTTGTGTTTTCAACATTAATTTCTTCTAGACTTTCCCCAAGTCTAACTTCCTCTTGTTTCAGAAAGGTTCTTGTTAAAAGAGGTGTCTCAGGAAGGGCAAAACCCTAAGGACACACTGCACAGCCCTTATCTCTAAAAAGCACTGCCTGATGCATGTGCTGCTGTGCAATGCATTGCCAAATAGTCCATACTCTCCATTTGAAGAAACAGTCTCCAGCTCTGGCACTATGTTAACAAGGTAGAAAAAGAATTCAAAGAGCTCTGCTTGAACTACAGATTAACAACCCAAACATCACTGGCTTATTTTCTAAATCCATCAGTCAGACCAACTGCAGAATTTTCTTTAAAGGATTTGTGAGACCCAGTGTGTGGATAGCAAGATAAGGTCAGGTGAATAGAGTCTCCAGAAAGCACCCTGACACAGGCTATAATTTGAATATTTTCTAACAAACACTAACAGGCCACAGAAAAGGAGATTTCTCTAGTGAGCTGTTCAATCAGTCAACTGCAGAATTTTCTTTAAAGGATTTGTGAGACCCAGTGTGTGGATAGCAAGATAAGGTCAGGTGAATAGAGTCTCCAGAAAGCACCCTGACACAGGCTATAATTTGAATATTTTCTAACAAACACTAACAGGCCACAGAAAAGGAGCAACTGCAGAATTTTCTTTAAAGGATTTGTGAGACCCAGTGTGTGGATAGCAAGATAAGGTCAGGTGAATAGAGTCTCCAGAAAGCACCCTGACACAGGCTATAATTTGAATATTTTCTAACAAACACTAACAGGCCACAGAAAAGGAGATTTCTCTAGTGAGCTGTTCAGTAGATCAGGTCACTAGGAGGCCAGGATGCAAGACTCAGACCTTTCAAATTCATTCCTCATTCTGCCAGGCATATTTACTCAACACCTTTAGCCTTTGCTGATAGCACAGCTAGGAGCAGACAACCACAGCTACCACTACACAGGATTTCTCCATTCTCATGTAATGTCTCACCACTACTTTAAAGAAGTATTTAGAATGCAGTTAGCTCACAGTCCTCCCTACTTCAGGAATAGATTTCCTTAATGCATTTAGGATTCACTTCCTTTACGGCATTGGCACTGGCAGATTCACGGTGATCCTCTGAAATGGAGCCAGCTGGCTTGCTGTCATCTGCTGTGGCCTTTGCCTCACTCTCAGGGATTTCTTCACACTCCACAATATGTTGGGGAGCTCCCCTTGGGAGGAAGAAAATACACCACTTTCTTCACACTCCATAATATATTGTGGAGCTCTCCTAGGGAGGGAAAGAATGCAGGGAATTTTATCTGTTGGCATTACGTTTGCCTCTCCTGTCCCCTCCATCACTCTAAGAAAACTGTATGAGAGCTGACAAGACAAATGAGTAAGAGCTGCTTACACACAATGCTCTTGGCCAGTGACAACAGGAATTGTTACAGGCACTGAAGGAAATGATTCTACATTTTGCCAACAGGAAAGGTTTCACTGCGATTAAGGAGCTGGGACAAGACTGAGAGTCCACAGGAGATCAAGGCTTCAGATGACTGGCAGCAGGAGAGAAACCCAAATTCTGCCATGCATAGAGCCTGCATGTTCCTTTGCTTCCACAGGCAAATTCTGGGCATGTGTGCAATAAGAAATCAATAGAGGTACTTGGATGGGAGAACTGAAAAGCCTCCCTGGCAGACAGAAGTAAAGCTTGAGACCAAAGACAGGAAAGTGGGATGACACCACATCACCAATGCCCTGATCCTTCTGGTCCAAGCAGCTCCTGAAGACAAGAGCCCAGACAATGCTGACACACTTGTCTTAATGGAGGAACAGCACAAACCATGTTGGTGCAGTTTTTTTCAGTTAGACATATAAATATCTCAAAATCATGAGAAATCTCAACTCTATGTAAATCTAGTGTCACCAACTGCCTATTAAAAGAAGAGCACTGACACACTGTGTTTGAGACAGGCAAGGCATTGTTTAATTCCTTACATGGCTTTCACAAGGTCATGGCCCTCTCTTACCCTCACAAATAACAGAGGCAAAGAAGGTACCCACAACAGCCATGGCAGGGAGCCAGCATGGCAGAGAGAGGGATGTGAAGGCAGAAGAGAGGAATGGGGACAGGTCTGGGCAGAGCAGTCCCACCACTCCTACTGGCCTGGGAGCATGTGGCAGCAGTGGGACCAGCACCCAGAACCAGCAATCACTGCCGTGTCTGTTGTGCCCACGGCCAGGTAGGAGGAGGAACTGGGACCTGAGTGGCTGCCACAGGGCACCTCACCCCTCCACCTGCAAGATCCTCTGTATGTGTGTGGGAGGTTTTTTTGTTGGTGCTACTGCTGCTCAATGTGACTGGCCTCACCAGGGAGTTCAGGTGTACGGGCATTTGTGCAGATCTACAGTTTTGATGAGGTTTTGTAGAAAAAGCAATGAATGCATCAGGCACCCCGGAGGCTGCTGAGTGGCATGTGATGTCCCACAAAAAAAAATAATTTGGGAAAATCTAGTTTGGCTTTGCTTTTTTTTTGCTGCTGCTACCTGTCCCTTAACACACACTCACTAGATCTTTCCACCCAGCCCTCCAAATAACAAATGAAACCCCACAAGCTTCAGAGAACAAACTGTATCAGTTTTATAAACCATGCCCTCAGTAAAACATAAAATAGTACATGTTAGTTATCTTTATGCCTATTTTGTACTAACTTCATGCCTTTTTCTAGGCAGTACTTTGGCATAACCCTGCATGCAAGACACACTAACAATCATTGCTGTCCCCTTGCAAGCATTTCCAAAATTACCTGAGTATTGTAATAATTCAACTCATGCTTTTTTCCTCAACCAAAGCCCAGGTGATCTGACCAAATATAACAACTTTCCCTATAAGCTTTTGATAATTACACCCAATACTTGTTTTTTATTTGGCCAGCAAGCAATGGGTGGTGTCCAGCAATATTGGTAAGGTCACATAGCCACTATTCAATTGCCTGTCACAGATACACTTATTCTCTGGTTCTGATTAAATGCTGTGCTTCGGAGAAGGAAGAAAACAAAAAACTTTCTGTATTGCTATCTCAGTGTCAGTCATTATTACTTACCAGTTTTTTTATTTCTATACTCATATCAAGACAAAATAACCTCTAACCCTCTTCTTTTTCGTTTGTTTTGGCTGTTCTGATTTTTTTGTTGTTACTGCTCTTCCTGGTATCTCCCTTTGGGAAAATCTTGTTCTGGGTATTTTGCTGAATTTGTTTTACATTTTTGGTAGCAAGAACTTGGGAATCTCTGCAATCAACATGGCAATGCCAACAGAACACTAATAAAAAATCTTTGTAAAATATACTGAAATCTTAATTTTTAGACAGAATGCACTGATACTTTACCTGTGCTCCAGAAAATGTTTGGCCGTACACTGGTTAACTGTGTTAGTAATTCCTTATCTGACTGACACAGTTTAATACTGAAACTGCAGTTTTCCTTGTGCCATCAAGTGTCCAGCTTCAATGGGGTGGATTGGAGGAAGTGAATGAGATGTGCTTCCCACCATGTGCCAAGTAAGGTTTTAGGAGAGTTTTGTACACATGAACACACTCAAAATGCCCAAAGTATCTGTTTGTCTTCAGAATACATGCCATTAAGAACAACTAATCAAGACCCTCAGACTTCCTTCTGAATAAGTACATGACAAAATATGAAGTTAATAGCATAGACACTGATCTACGTGATCACCAAACTAACTGTCACCGATTTAATAACCAGGCCTAAGGAGATCTGCTTCTTACAAGGACATTTCTCAACAGAAAAGGAAGTTTATTTTCCAAGTCCAGGATGCATCCAAACAGAGAGAAAGCTTCAGTTTTGCACTGTCAAGATGGCTGTTCTTCGAAAAGCAGCTCTGGTCAAGAGGAGGTAGTAACCCTCTGGATTGCAAAGGTCCTGAAACCTGCCTTGCTTTGAGAAATACTCCCAAAGGCTAGCAATTTACAACAGGAAAGTACCTGATACAAGTCCAAAAGAATGATTCCTTTCAGACCAAATGTTGGGCCTCAAGGAAAGTCCAACACAGGGGCAATGCCACTTCAAAGACTTCAGAGTTGCTACTGAAAGTGCTGCTGATTTCCTATTTGTGATGTGACAGCTTGAAGAGTGGAAGTTCTTAATAGTATTCACTGTCCACAGAGCAGGCTACACCATTCCAGAAAACACCTTCTTCCTTGTACTGCCCCACTCCTCCATGACAGTACGGTCCAACAGTAGCAGACCAGGTCAAAGAAACTATTTCTGAACTCACTATTTCAAAGCCAAAAAGATATGGAGATCAGATTTTACTATTCTGTAAAAATTTTGCTCTGTCCTGTTGTTGTATCAGTAATTAAAAGAAAACACAAAACATATGGTGTTGTTCAGTAAAGTGTCCATTTAATAAACTCCTTAGCCATGTTTCCCACCCCCTTCCTCCCACCATAAAATTTCAATTCACACTTAAGCAGATGACATATAATTTGATGGTGTACGACAGAGGTTTTTTAATCTGCACTCTTAATACTAAGAGTATCAGGGGCTAGTATTCGACAAAATTACCCAGGTGTGCCCATGCAAAAAAAGCAGATTTTTATATACAATCACTATTTTTTCTTATAAATTTAAATATTTTACAAAAATGTATTTTCAAAATGTATAAAGTTTAGTGAATACCCCAAATGTATCTTAAAATAAAATGCTATCTGGTTCCAAAGGTTATTTCAACAAGGAAGTCTAAATTGCACCGGAGAAAAGGCACTTGTGCTGTGTGATGTCTTAAGCAAATGCATGTTAGTTTGTAATACAGTAATACAGTGTCTTCTTGAATTCATGCAGCTGTCTCTGAGCATCAAGCATCATTAAAGCAGCCAAAAGAGATCGTGAGTAAACTTGATTCCACAGTTGTAAAAACATTTTTATCGCTAAGTCGAACATACAGCATTGTGCTCCATCTTTGACTCTAAAGTCAAACACTACAGAAAAATTGCTGTCATTCAGGTGGGAATTCAAACTATGTTTCATTCTCTCATAAGTTACAAAAAGTATGCCATTTAATTATTAAACTAAACCGCCACTGAACAGCTCAGTGTTCAAATAGTTTGTGCCAATGAAAGTCTGTATTTATAAACAAGCTAGGGGCGAGTTATTCAAGGAGCAGTGCATTGTATTTTCAATTTCCACTTCACTGTTGAGATAAAAGTGCAGTCCTGTTTGCCTTCATCTTCTCCAGCCTTTTCATTAAATGGTTGTTGGTCATCTCCATCTCTTCTATCTTGTCCAATGCTGTTCGTAACTATAAAATGAAAACAGAATTATGATCGTTTATTTGGACCTTCTGCTCTTCTCAAGCTTTGCAAGAGGAAATTATACCAGGAATACAAGCATTATATGCTTTATAAGAGTGCCACAAAAGTTAAGACAACACTTTCATTACTCACTCAGATGAACCCAAATTAAACTGTTTAAAATAATTATGAAGCAATTCAAATACGTATTCATACCAAAACAGCTAGGTGCTTGCAACTTCCTGTGACATTAAAGTGATTTATCTAGAAAAAGGCAAAGTCCTCGCCACCATTGTTACATGCATGTAGATACATATTCCCATGAGTAGCAGGCATCATTCTAGTCATGCAGCAGCTCTTATGCAAATATGATCAACAGCTCAGTTAAATACAGCTCCTTCCCAGCATCTTGTGAGGTGCATGCTGGAAAATTCCCAGGCTGTCACTTGGCATAGGGACTGTTCATCTCCCCAGTAATTTTTGGAGAAGGATTACTTTAAAATAGTACAACCTGTAACTAAGATTAAAAAAAAACCCAAAAAACCCCAAAACAAAAAAAACCAACCAAACAAAAAAAAAAAAAAATCCCCCATCCCCAAAACAAAACCAAACCACCACCACCACCAAAAAAGAACCCCCCAAAAAAGCCCCAAAGCTTGGAGGCAAAAGACAGAGCAGTTCAAGACTGAAAGGAACATGAAGCTGAAAAGGAAATCAAGTCAGATACCTCTCGCTGAAGCTTCCTCTTTTCAGCTTTGAGTTCATCTTCTACTTTTTCTGCATTTTCTGCTGCATTTCTGTACCTTGCAACCTGCCCCTCAAGTCGCCCAATCTGCAAACCCAAACATGACAAAAGGAATGATTAGTCAGGTGGAGCTCACCTGCCACCAGCTGGTCGTCCCACGACACAGCTGAGAAGATGCAGAAGGCTGAAGAACTAAGCAGAGAAAGAAGAGTTGGAAAAAGAAAGAACAAGAATTGTGAAATACATGGGATTAAAAGCAAAAGTTGAAAAACAAAAAAGGGAAACAGAAGGAGAGTGTTAACTGTTATCAGGAAATGATGAAAGAGGTCTTAAGCCCAAGCACAGAATTCAGCAGTAAGGAGAGGGTTTGAGAGCTCCCTGCTACCCCCCAAATTCAGATGACAGGCTAATAGCCTGAATCTGTGCAAAAGAGAAAAGCTATGCATTTCTGATTCAAATTATAATCCTTTATGTGATTTACAGGTAATCTGATGAGATGCTGAACTATTATACCATGTTATTGACTTAGAGTCATGAAATGTGGAAGAGATATCTATAAAAGCAAACTTGACTTTCTGAGAGAAAATTATGTACCTTCCACAGTATTTACAAATTTCTCACAAGTAATTAAGTTACATAAACTGATTTTCTTGAACTAGTAGCTTCAGTTCCTCTTTATATTCTGTCTTACTTTAGCATTTTAGGAAATTAACTCTAGATTATTTTATTTTATTGTTAGACTTTGCGCAGGTATTGAATTGCAGAAAATATGAAAAAATGTAGTGCCATTCTGTGCAAACTAAAGACCAAAGAGCAAATCAAATGATGATGTTTTCATAGTTTTGGTTGAAAAAAAGTGTTGTCTAAATGTGCAGAGCAAGCATAATGACAACAAATACGAAGAAAGATGCACTTACATTTTGTTCCAAAGTAGTTATATCTTGTTCAGCTTTCGAAAGCTTAAATCTGTATTCACTAATTTGTCTGTTGGCATCTCCTAGACAAAAATTGACATGAATGTGTTAGTCAAAGCAGCTCTCTAAACTAGCAGTTTCCCTTTTAATTCATTAAAAAGGCCGTTTTACAGAGAAGTCTGTATACAGGATTACAAAGAGGTAGATGTTCTTTATGAAATCTTTGAAAGTATGGAAAGAAAACAATTTTCCCGTTAGAGAACACAGCCATTGTCTCTGGAAACAGTGTGCATTAAATCTCAGATGTACAATGAGATTAACAACTTTTAAAACACATATTCAGATCAGCAAACTCATTCCTCAAAAAGAGAATCAACACAACAACCAACACACACTGCAAAACGGCTCAGACCACAATAGACAAAAGAGCAGCTTTCAGCTTAGACATCTCTAATACTATTTAACTAAGGAGCACAAGGCTTGAACCTGACTGACAAACTCCAAGGAGCTCTGCAAATTATTTGGGTGCTACATTTGAGCCCTCACACTGCCAGTGCTTGGTTCTTACTCACTGACAGAAGCATATAAAATGACAGGCTGACAAACAAGTGAAGTTTTAAGCTGAAGAAACAGCTTGCTTGAAGTGGAAAGCAGCCTAGTACTTCTATGAAGCAACACTGAATAGTGTTAAATAAATTTTCACGTTTCTATGTTAAGTTTCTGTATCTAAGATTCAACAAAATTTCAAAAAACACCAAGAAGAATGCATTTTTAAAATCTCAGCTGAAATTTTATTGTCTAAAAATTGAAATCATTCAAGTAGTGGCACCTAGTCTAGGCAAGGTTATCAACTGCAAAATAACTTCCCAGAATATTGTTATTTACCATTGAAAAAGGCAGACTTTCAAGCTATTCTGCAGTGAGAAACTCCTTGTGAGGAGCTCAACAATATATTCGTTCACAATACTACTACTGCACAACAAAGGCAGTTGGAAGAGCCTGCTCTCAACAGGAACCATATACCTACTTTGCATTTCAATTAGCTGCAAGTCAGAACCGTTCTCTAAGCCTGTGATATCTGGATTCAGGCCACCACTTTTAGAGTATTTCTGTCGTTCTTCTTCCAACTGCATCTTCAGTTTTCTAACCTGAAAAAGGAAATGATGGGTAGTGAAAAAGAGATTCCCACAAGTGCAGTAGTTTTATATCTGGCAACCAGTTCAATGGCAAAAAGGCAAAGCAGCCCTGAGGCTGAGAAGGTTCTGTAAACCAAGAGTAACAGAGCTATGCAGGGGAGACAGAGAACCCAGTCCCTGAGGCCTGTGGCTGCAGCACCCCACTCCCATCACTCTCTGAGTACCCCACACAACCTGAACCCACCAGCTTGGTCAGTGCTGCAGTGATGTCTGCAGAGTACAGGGGCACCCAGTAACTCCAACAGAGCTCACTTTTCAGAGGAGGAGATGGCATTAAACCCTATTTATGCATTTTTTCTACTGCATACCTTTTTCACTCTAAACATGCGTGAAGGTATTGAGCAACATCCTGAGGAGTTTACAGAGAGCAAAATCCACAGCTTTTCTGGGGGGTCCTCTCTCATATTCTACCTGGAACCAATGGTCCTGGGCAAGTCTTTGGTGCACATTAGTCTTAAACAGCTCCAATTCATGCTACAGCAGCTGTCTCACATTTTTTTCCAGTAGTCATGGAACAGGGATTTCTCAGCTATGTCCTCTGTGTATGGAGTTTATGAAAGAAGTGGGAGCTACTTTGTTGACACTGTTATAAAAATATTGCCCTACAGATTAGCAGGATGAGAGTTAAACTTGCAAAACTCCCACTCATAATAGAAATCAAATATATGACTGGTGATTTTTACAATTATATAATGCTAAATATGCACATATGTATTTATATACTTATATTTAATGCCAATATTATTGGCATTCCAAACCAAGGATCTATACTATAATTAAGGTACATTCCCAGCAAAAAACCAAATGCTGACAACACCACTTTAAGTCTGCAATGTCTTCAATCAGAAGCACAAAAACTATGGTATTCTTAACAGTTGCTCTATGGCTCTATGTTTTCTTGAGTCCTCTCTTCTCAATACTGAACTGTATGAAAATACAACTACTTTGACAATATTAATTTTCTCTTTGAGTAACTGATGATGAAATAGTATGACTTATCAATTTAGAAGAAAGTGTCACTTGAGCTTATGACAATGTAATTTTACTGACATTACTATTTCTGCAGAAGACAAAATAAAAGAGCTTCAAGTGCATGCACTAATAATAGAGAGAGCAGCAAGTTAGATTTCAGCTAAGCAGTTAGTGAAATGAGGTTTCTTTACAAACGAAGATCACAGACACATGGACAAAGACACTAGCAAGATGAGCTGAAAATTCCTGGCCACCAGTGAGGTAAGAAGTTGAGGATCTTATTTTGCTTTAGCGCTTACGTATTTAATTAAGCACCTTCAGTGCTTAATATTTGCTAATATATTAATACTCTGCAAAAGGATACACAGATGCCTATTTCTGAAATGAACAGCTTATTTTACCTGGGACAACAACTCCTCCTTTTCTCCAGCCAGTTTTTGTAGCCTGATATCTAAAACCAAAGAACCCAATTAGAAATCAGAGAAAACTGTAACTAAGAACATGTTTTTCATAATTTTTTGTTGAATTGCAGAGAAAATGCTGTTCAAACAAAGCTAATAGCACTTGGACATGACACTTTATCTCACTAATAACACACCAACCTTCAGTTAACAGCAGAAAAATAAGGGAAAAATATTTCATTCTCACTGTTTATTAACATAACAATTCTAAAAGCAAGACATCCGAGTTTAGCAAATCTTCAACGTACATTAACAACTGAGAATTTTTTTCTTTTTAATACTAAAACATAGTTTTATCCCAATATCTAGAACAGTCATTCCAACAAAAGTGTCTTCTGATTGTATATTCTTTTACCTGTCTTATTCAAAGATTGCTGTCCCTTCAGGGAAGCCACTAAGCTTCCCTATAGGTTTAGAAAGTTTATAAAATGTGTTCTCAAACCACAAAGGAAGTACCAGGGGAAAGGACCCACGGGAATGTGGCAATATCTCTGATTAGCCAGAAGATCAGTAACAGCTACAAAACAGTGTCAAGCGACACTGTACTAAGATTGGAGCAGTTCCCTTAGAGCTTAGTGACATTCATATTTCCCTCTGAGGGAGCCACAGTAGAAATATATAGAGTCTAGATTTTTGTCAAGACAAAAATACGTAACTGTTATATATTCTGTACAAATATAATCCAAGTACATAGAGATGTTTCATTACATGCAAACAGAGTTTTACAGGTCATTGACTATGCATACGATAACTTGTTCAACTTAAGGATAAAAGCAAATTAAAGTAACTCCCCTCCGCCCCAATTTGTATCTTTCTGTGGTCTTACACATACTTCTAAGGAATTACTGTCATGAAACACAAATGACAACAGACAAATCTAAAAGACTACACTTTTAGGCAACATGTTTTCTGACAGTAATAAAGCAGAAACTGGACCAAGAGAACTATCAGTTTCAAACATCCACATATTGTTATTTTTTCTTGCTCGAAAGATACATCTGTCTTTCCACTCACTGTAAACACAAAAATTAAAATAAATTACAATCTTGAAAGTTGCATAAGTATTCCAGAAGCATCACAGGTACATCATTCTGCAGCTGTAAATCACACAGGAGGGAAATGAAGACTTCAAACACTCTACGAAGTATGTTAGGATATTTTTACCTAGTGGTCCTTCTCCTGCAGATTCCAAGACTTGAGCAGCTTCCTTTGATACAACTGTTATTGCACCAACCACTGGTTCGTGGTTTACGTCACCATTTGGTGTGCCATCTGGAATTATAACTAATCCATGTTTCTAAAAATGCAAAAGAAGAAAAAACTACTCATACAAGAGAAATGCTAAAATACAAATCAACAGATTTATACCCTAAGGTCAGGGTTTCAGAATGCACAGGAATAGTTACCATTCTTCCTCTTTTTCACTGACCTTGATTTCACACCCCATTCCTGAATTTCTGTTACTGTAAAGCAACTACTACCAACATACCTCTCCTCTCTTCATTGTTTCCTTCAGGTCAGCCAACTCCTCTCTGAGCTCATCTCGCTCATTCTTAATGCAGTCAAAGTAATTTTTCTGTCTTTCTAGGGCCTGGGTTCAGGCAGATAGCAAGAAAAAGAATGGCACAGAGAAAAAGCGTATGACAGATAGCAGAGAGATTTTTCCACAAGTAAATACAAAGAGCTCAATAAAAGAAATTAAAAAGGGTATTTAACATACATCAGCATACACCTCTGATAACTGCCTTCTACCAGGTGCATATCTAGCCTCATGTTGCATTTGTCATGACTTTTTCTTTTCAGGCAAGTCTTAGTAGATTCTCTAATAGAGTTTTATTTAGTGAGTTCTATTTTTGGTAAATCTTGATAAACTCAAATAAATACCAAAAAAATAAGTGATTTGTCTTGCTACAAGAACTTTGTGGCCAGAAATAAAATTTTCTAAAACTCAACTAGCAAAGATCCTAAAACATTCCATCTCTTGAACTTATTTCTTTACCTTTTATAGAGTACAGAAGTAGAAGTTCTACTTCATAAGAGACCTTGGATGCATCCACTTACAAATACTAGTTTATTCACTAGTTGCTTGAATGTTACAGACACCATTTACCAAAACCAAAGCAATCAGTTTTGGGGGGGGGAAGCACTAGTAGCACTATTTGAGCACAAAAAAGTACTGCAGCTAATAGCACAATATGGTCATAAATGGGTTTGCCTACCTATGCTGGAGCTGTGCTACCTGGCAGTTAATGGGACACTTTCACTTGACTGAGAAGCATCACAGCACCAATTCAAATTCAATACTGCAGGCATTACAAACAATCGTCACCATGCAGCAACTACAAAAGTATATACACATTTTGCCAAGAAAAATATCCAATTAAACCTTATGTTAAGCATGAGTGTTTAGGAATGGACAGATACAAGATAAAAAATGAAGTTGTAGACCTTTGTCCTGTAATTGCCCCACATAAGTGCAATATGCTGAATTTCAATAATCATCTAGAATCTGTACACTAGAGCAATGTTTTAATGCATTACTCAATTTCAACAGAAAATTTTAACAAGTGCTGCTGCACTTGATTGATTAGCATATAAATGTAACTTTCAAAATAAAGGCAATTCAATACATGTGAAAGCCTTAGGTGTCACATCTTACTTTAAGAAGTCTTAAGATGTCCTTTTATTTCCTAACCCACACTAGATCTCTAGCTACATTGTAAATAGCACGAAGAACTTTAATCATTGCATCATTCTGTGTTCCACTTAAAAGTTTCATACACCTTTGTCATTTTTGAAGAATAGTGGCAGAGACAGAGGGGGAGGTAAACTCACCCACTGGAGACAATGGACACAGTGGTCCAGAATCACACTGCAGACACAGAACATGTGTGCTTGACAGTGTCCTGTGATGACAATGACCTTCCCTAAACATCTTTTCTGTCCTCACACTTAATGCACAAAAGTTGGAAATAAGAAAATTCTGATGGGGAAGGAAGTGAAACTGATGTAACCATTTATCTCTACCCACAGAAATCTTAATCATCATTATTCGATGTTGGAAAGCTTTAGTAAAAATTCAAGTGTTTGTATGCTCAAGAATTAATATAGCATGACAGGGATTTTATATGAAATCTACTTCTGCAATTCTGCTATTGGGGCAGGGGATAGTAATGAGGACAACTAAGCTCTGCGGGCATGTTTTAACATACTAGTATGAGTAAAAGCTGATCATTTGGCAGAAAGGAGATTTGTCTGGGGCCCTATTTTCTAAATACTCCAAAAGCCTTCACAAAATCTATACCAAACTCCAAGTTGTCATTACTGATTTCAAATTGGCAATGTATGCACAACTTGGAGCCACCAAATGGTAAGATAACTGCATATTTCAGAAATATAACCTGAAGCTCTAGTTCAAAATGGATCTAATTTAGGATCAAATACAGCTGCAAATTTCAATCACTGTAGAAACAGGACAACCTCAAAAGGCAGGAGTAAAACAAACTCATGCCATCTTTGACCTGTCTGCCTATCTTGCTTTCTCTGGGCAGCAAGTCTTGCACACATTGTAAAAGTAGGTTACAATTCTAGTTACAAACTACATTGTGAAGCTTCTCAGAGACTTCTAAAGCTGGAATAGAGCAAAGACCATTAAAGCTGCTCAGTAGTAGTGCTCAAAAACAGTCAAGAAAAGTATGTGAATGTTTTTAGACATGAGAAAGAAAAGAGCAGGATTTTTGCATTTCAATAACTAAGAGCTTTCAATTCTGAGACAGTAAAAACCTCCAAACTTAACTAAAAAAATACCCAGTTGTGGTGTTTATAAGAACACCGAAACTGGCAGGATGATTTTGGCTAAAGGAAAACATATCCTTCTTGTCATTTTGGCTAGTAGCTACATTTTGAACATCAGATATGTTCTGCACTAACTCAGACAGTGCATTTGAAAGAGCACAAAAATATTCCACAAATTGAGACAGTCCAGAACATATACATGAGAAATTAGTCTGGAAAGAGTACGGCAAATTACAGATAAAAAAGGTTTCAGAAAACTGGTCAAAAAAGATTAAGAACGTTGAAATATTTTTTTAGGATGTAAGAGAAGATCACAATATACATTGCATGATTGAAACATGAAATAAATATGAGACAATATAGCAGGGCAATTTTGAACTGGCCATCAGTTAAAAGATAACTTTTCAAAGTGACTTGAACTCCAGCAAATAAGACAATTTGCAAAGAAATCTGCATATGTTGTATACATGGTGTCAAATTCAGTTAGAGAGAAATGACCCTAGAGTTGCTAAGAGGCAGACAATTCCTTTCTAAAAACTTTCCAATTAACTCCCTATCACCACGAGGCAATCTACTTATGGTCCAGAACTGCCGTAAGTTCCAGCGATGTAGTCATCACTGAAGATCAGGCTGAGTCAGACAGTCCTACCACTTCTGTGCTACCCAGAAGCAAAGGTGACAAAGCTGCTTGACCTACATGAACTGCTTAGAGTATCAGCACACTTCTTCCTGTACCACCTTCTTTCTCATACAGGAATCCTACAGATGCTCCTCAGGTCTCACACAGCCACAGCTGGTTCTATTCCAACTCTCAATTCCCATAGTTGGCACCTATTGCTATTGTATTTTGTGTGTGACATCACAAAAACAGCTTGGTTCAGCACTGAATCCAAGCTATCCAGGTCTTGGAAGGATCAGAAGAGCAATACAGGAATGTGCAAGTTGGCCACAGCAGTCAATTTGAGACCATATTTTTTGAGCACTAGGCATTGTCATCAAATCTTTGGTAAAAAAATTTATAAAATTGTATGCGTAACAGTCTGTATCATCGGTTTAATTCGCATTTTTCATCTTTATGCAAGTAGAGATGAAGTGTAGCTCATTTTCTAAAGAACAGAAATACTGCAATACATTTCATGCATTTGTATTGGGAGTGGCCTTCATTCATTTTGGAGTACACAGCATTCCTTGGGCTGCAGGGGGCATCCATCTATTTCTAAGTTAAAAAAATACTTCCCCCCCCATATTTGATTCATACCCCTATTTTTTTATCTTTCCAATTAATTGTCTCCTGGAGATCAAACACCTCTTTGGTTATGGAGTCTAAATTCTCCTGCATACGTTGATTCTCCTGCAGTAAATAGGATGAGGGAAGAATAAAAGGAAAGAGAAGTAAGGAAATGGAAAAACACCCCAAACACTGAAACAGATAAAGGAAATTAAGTAATAAAAGTCAACCAAAGAGATTATGAGCATGAGGTTGGAAGAAACAGCATGCAGCTTAATGCAATGTATTTCTTACGCATTCACGCAAGAAAATGGCAAATAATTTTATTTGATGTTCATGGGAGAATTTAAAGGAGCTAGAGCTAATTTTCTTTAGTAACAGTTCCCACATCAGTCTGAGGGTAACATCCTTTCTGTAGAAAAATAGTTATGCTGGTTTAATTTCCCATGCCTTGAAGTTAACCTTTGGAAGTGAACAGTAGTATCAACAAGTGGTTTTGAAGTTTTACAAAATAAAAAAATCTACTTGAAAGTATAAAGAAGAAAGTTTGAATCCAGCAGTCAGGAAGCAAAATACAGCTGCTGACTGCTTTCTGATACAGTATGAATACATATCAAACATTGTCCTGGTTTTTTTTTTAGCTGACTAACACTGCATTTTGCTGCTTGCTCTGCAAACATAACTAAAATTCTTAGATATGAAGATGGCAGAAGAACTTTTAGGGCTAGAGAATTGTTTTCCACTCTCACAGCGAACGAACTTGTTTTTACATCTGGGAATGGAAGACAATGTCTTTTTGCAGAAAGCTACATTGCTTCAGCCAGATTTTCTGTTAGTGTTAAGAGACGAAGAAAATAGTCAAGTAACTGGCAAATGTGGGTCAAATCTTTGAAGGGACTGGATGCATTTGTGAATATTCGACACATGCCTCATTCTACCAAAACATACAGTCCAGACCAATCTATTGTATATTCTTGATTCATGTATTTAAAACTCACCAAAACACAACATAAACCCAAACAAGAATTAAAGAAGAAAGCATAAAGTTGGGGGTTTTTAATTCTCAGTGAAGTCAAAGATAACCTAGAGCAAGCAACAGAGCTACAACAATAATTTTCTTATGTTGTTTTGCTTGTCAGCATTTATCTGACACAAAATGCTAGCACTTAGTCTAAATCTCATTCCTTTTCTTCTGCTAGTAAGTCATATCAACTCCAGTTGATGAAATGTATTACTTCCAGAACAGAACTGGGACTTTTCAGAAGTCATTTGGAGTTACTGTACTACTACCACCTAGAGAGCACAAGAATATCGTAAGGAAATATAAAGGATCAGTGGGATCAATGGAAATGGACACCCACATACTGTTGACAATATATGTATTTTTTTGTGGACCATTTCAAAATGAAGACTGATAATTTAGGGTTGACAGGTAAGCAAACAAGCATTCACTGCTGCAAACTTCGATAGTTCATGCTCACAAATATATGAAATAACTGAAATGGAAACTTTTGGAAAAGGCAAAGAATAACATTCGGTATGTCGTTCTCATATATGTTCTCATATATGAGAACTTAGAGACATGGAAAAGATTTTGGCTATACAAACTTTAGTTCTGCCTTCACAAGAAAGAAAAGGTACAAGAAACATTAACAAGAGAACCACAATTCTCACAAGAATTAAAGATTTTACAAGATGCAACGCATTTGAAAACCTTGCAGAGACATTTTCAGCTTAATAAATTTAGAGAAATCAGGAGCTTAAATTCTACCCACTAAAAGAAGATAAATTCTTTTTTAAAAATGCAAGATAACATTTAACCTCATTTTGTGTATGATGACTGGTCTCATCCAAATCTTACACTGTATTTATTTGCACAAGTTTTATTACACACTATCTCATATAAACATACCTCTATCAGTTCATCTCTTTGTCGAAGGCCCTCTTTAAGTTCATTCAGCTTATGTTGCAGAATACTGCAGGTGTGTTTCTGTCTTTCCAATTCCTATATTAAATAAATCAATTATTTATATTTGAGTTTGTTTTCTATACAAAGTTTGAAATTTATTTATATCACTAAACATTATCTAAGAAATTACTTCAACGGTTTGAGAAATTCTACCTAGCAAGTGGTTAAAAAAAAAAAAAAAAACTTAAAAAACCAAACCAAACCAAACCAACAAACAAAAACAAAAAAAAAAATGTCACTGAATCAGTGTTTTAGGTATGTTCTCCAGATACTTATCACATGGAAAACTTTATTTAATAAAACATAGAGAGAGAAAGATGCCATTAAGGCTTAAGCGCAGCATTAGCAAGCAAAGCTAATCTGAAAGCTTTCTGCTGTTCTCACTAAGCAGTCCAGACTTCCATGGTTTATAATTGGGAAAAAATCCATACCTTTGATTTCTCATCATTCTCCCTATAGAACTCTGCTATCTGTTCTTCTTTCTCCTCAATAACATCCTTTAAAGTATCCACTTGGTAAACCAAGTTGTTTTTCTCATTGTCTAGTTGAGCATTGGAAACCATAGCTTTCTTGTACTTCTCTTCAACTTCAGCTAGCGAATCCTATAGGTAGCAGAAAGGTTTACATTAGTCTAACTTTTTAATGCATCATTAGAATGTTAAAAGATCACCATAACATTGAAGAATGATACCTGTTATACAGTAAAATTTCATAACCATTTTTGTTTCTGAATTATGTTCATGTATTACCTTTAGAGATACCAGGTCACAGTTCAATTTCATTATTCAAGTTAACTTTTCATTGCATGGTATGACCTATCATTACAAAGCATGAAAAAGACAGGACAATATTCCAATTGCATTTTCTACTCTACCACCTCCACAACTTAACTCACAGTGATGCACTAGCAGGAACACAGCTTTATTCCATTTTCAGAGCATGCATAAGAAAACACTTCAGAATGAGTCAAGAAAAATCTAATAAAGTGAACTCAGACAATTAAATCGCTACAAGAAATCACAAAAATATCTCCAAGTATAGCTTCATCTTAATGCTCATTATGTAAGCAGTGCTCTATTACCTTAGATTTAAAGTTTTTAAGATAGCAACATTTTTTCTTTTCAGTAATAAGGATTCTCTGTTTAAGCAGATATTTTGTCTTCATATTTCTCACTAAGGTTTTTTAAAAAAAGGCACAAAGATTAGCATGCTTGATTCTCTACCTGAAGGTGCAGATATGCCTTGCTATATACCCTCTTACACAATTCTCTCCCATTTACCATTATAGCCTATCTTTAATTATCCTATTATTTCTTTCTCAGTACTGTAACAAATGGCAACCATTTGCATACTTAGAACAAGTATCAGTTCAGGCACTTTTAAACCTGCAATTATTTCAATATGCATCATTTTAAAAATATTAAAATTGATTTTTATAGAGTCCTAATTTGGAATTTCTGCTCTTACAATGCCACTTTTGTCTGTTGCATATTTGCCTTAGAAAGGAGTCTGCCCTGTGTTCTCTATAGCCTCCTATCAGGCAGCTGAAAACAACAAAAGATACTGCCAACAACCCCTCCAAGAATTACCAAAGCCTATTGTCTCGCCCTATTACTGTATCTTCCAGGAGTTACAGAGAAGACTAGGTTGGGACTGAAAAGACTGGATTAAAATGTCATTAATCAATAATTTAATGGGGGGCAAAATCTGCAGTTGCAGAAGAGGAATAGACTGAAGGCTGACAATTGCTTCTGAGAGAGAAACTAAGCTATGCCTGAGTTTCTGATGGGCTAAAAACCCTCAAACATTGCAAAGACTTCTTTGGAACTGTTTCTTCTTTTTGAGGTAAGTATTACACACATTCCCTGTGATTCAAGAATTTCACTCAGAAGTCTTTCAGTTTGATGAAAAATAATATGGATTTGAAATAATTTCTGAAACCCCTGAAGGAGGCAGTGGGATATCTAAGGATGAAGCAGTGGGAACAGGCTGGAAAGAAAATAGGTAAGGCTCTCCATATAACATGAAGCTATGACAAAATACCACCCACGATTCTATCAGTAAAGTCATACGGCTATAGAAATTAGCCTGCTTGGCTAGAACAAGATGATTAAAACAAACAGACAAAGAGAGTGCTCTGCTAACAGCATAAAGGAAAAGTTTTGAGGAAAGAAAAAGGATTCCTTTCCAGTTATGCAAAAGAACATAGAAAGAACCAACAAAACTGAATCAAATTGAGACATGAAAAGATTTGAAGACCTAACTAAATCAGAACTATCCAGATCAATTTATTCTGCTGACACCCAGCATATTTGTAGCCAGGAAATGTCCACACTTTAAGGAGCATGACGGATGGGCAACCAGAGAGATTGGAATGTAGCGTGATTACAAATCCCTGTTCCTCAACCACTGAAAAAAACCCAAACCACCTCACTTAAAAGTAGCATAAATGCAGGTACCCTACTAACTCTAACATACACAAGACAAAACTGATAAAGCACAAGTTGAGAAAAAGGCAACGCCTTCCTAATTTAAAAGAAGGGTTCAAAAAGTAAAATCTCCATGGAATGCAAATTAACTTAGGAACATATGATACGGTATTAGCAACAGCATAAAAAGCAATTCAACTCTGAGCACCAAGCACAGATGAAGATCTTACTGTCTACTGCACACCTGTGCTCTTTGATAGCTGCAATGGATTACAATAAATAATAATGCATTAGCACTGATTCAGAACAGTAGTCACGAGATGCTGGCAAACATGCAAAAGCATAAGAGTTAGATCCATTCTGAAAATATGAAGCAATCTCACATTTCGTTCAATCATGTTTAATAATCTTAGAATCTACTGATCTTTGGAGTCTTTTGAATACTCATATGGCAATATGATTTGAAAAAAATCCGTATTTCATCTGCGGATACGACTATCAGATTCAAAGTTACTTACAGTCTAAAGATGCAATCATTTTTACTACACTGAACAGCTCAAATTGCGTATTTTCTTTTTACTAGACCAACTAATACGTTATTCAATCAAGGAAATTCAGAACAGCTGTTAAAATACATCACTGTTACAGGCTCTAGCGCAAGAAGTATTCATTAAATTCAGTCTCTATATGGATATAAAACAAATATGGAAAGATCACTTTACTTTTACACAAAACAATTCACAATTAGGTATCAGGAAAGAGAATAGAATAAATATCCTGAAAAGATTTGTAAGCCACATCATTTGCTGTATTTAGTTTCCCTTCCACACACAAGAAATGAAAATACTCATACTTTAAATTAACTGCACTGTTTATTGTGCAAAACTGTACAAAAGGAAAACATATACACTGGTTTAAACCAGTCAAAATACAGACTAATCACATGTGAAGACCTAGTGCAGGTAGCTCAGTGTGCAGCTGCAGTGCAGTGCAAGCTGCACATTGTGCCCTGGGTGGTGGCTGGAGCCCCTGGCAACAAGTTGTGGCCTGATGCCTACCCTTTGCATGACAGAGGGTACAGAGACTGGTGCACCAGCTGGATGACCAGACACTCTGAGACACAGAAGGA